CAACGTTTAGCATGCAACGACAGCAATGGAAAGATTACTCAAACTGATGTCATTCAAACAAGCATACATTTTTCTCAGTACTATAGCTAGAAATGTATCACTTTTTGTGTTGTTTTTATATTGTTAACCAAAATACAGTACTCACTGATTTATATGCCTAGTCATATATAATCTTCCTACCTACTCCTGTGGGGTCGTATATCTCCCATCAGCCTTAACTATCAGAGCTGTGGTCCAAAGCCCACATCAAAGGCCAGTTTCTTTCCTTACTTTCTGATGCCTATAGCTTTAACTCATATGGCAACAGCTCTTGATGTGCTGAAAGCTTTTATTTATGTGATATGCCACTCATCTACTAGTTATTCATCTGATTTACTCTATCTTTGACGGAGGTGGAGCTTTTCGTTATTTCAATAAGAAGCACTGGACACTAAATACTATGATTCTTTTCCCAATCTGATTTTAAATTCAATGGAAACATTAGGCCTAATCAACTGATTATGGGAAAATTCGACTACCCGTCTACATTGCCTTAAGCGAAATGGGGTGAATGCAGTTCCTATATCTGGCCTAAAATCTTTGTTTTCAATTCTATTTCACTTACGTTTACAATACTTTTTCTAAGTGTTATGCAAGGTATTGCTTTGTTATACAACTTATTAAACTAGCAAACTCCTTGGATATGTTTTGCCATCTTTACTTATTGATGGGCTAGAGGCACTTCAGTAAATTGATTGTATTTTATTCATTTATTATAGCACTGGGGATTATGGGTTGGCAACACGAGACTCTGCTTTGTATCTTAACAACAATTTTCCGACTACCGTTTACCAGTATGCATTTTAACTATCTCTATAGGAAGGTTTCAACTCATCTGCGGGGCTCAAAAAAGGTAGCGACGTCCTCTTCAAGTGTAATTAAGGCTATCTCTCTTCTCGGAAAAGCCACCAAGCAAACCTCTCTCACTGGCGGACTGATAGCAGCCTCTCCTGCAAGGTCCAGGCGTGGATTGACCAGCAGGGGCCGTGTTAGGAGGAGCCGGATTGCTTCCGGCATCTCCCGTTTTCCACCCACTTCACCAGAAACTCCTGTCTCTTCCTTGTCCTCCATAGTTATCCAGGATACGGGTGGTCTGCCCCTCACTCTTTCTCCAGTCATTTCTCCTATTTCCGGCCGAGTTGAACCAAAGACTCATCCATCATCACCCGTTCGTTCGTCTGTCCGTGGTGGGCACCACGATTCAATACGTAAGGCAGCTCACAATGTCTCTGATCAACTTGATATCGAAATGAATTCGCCTAGTAAGGTGAAAAAAACTGGCCTACATAGCTCTATTCAAGTGGTGCAGCCCATTCCCGGCAAGTGGTTAAGTCCGACTAGATCTATACTCCCTCATGAACCACCAGTCCCCCAAGATTTGACTCCTGCCTCCTCGATTCCCTCCACTAAGCGACGAACGCGCCCTACTATTGGCAGCCCAAACAGAACCACTTTTGGTATACAAAGGAGGGTTACAATGAGTACCAGAAGTCGAGTTATTTCCCCACCTTCAGCCTCCTCTTCTTATTCTCCTTCTAAGCAGACCTCGCCACTGCTGAGCCCGCCAAGGTCAGATAAGACTAAGGCAGCATCAACTGATCATACTGACTCTCCTTCATTAATACAGCTTAGGAGCTCAGTAAAACGAGCTCATTCAGCATCTTCACCCAGCAAAAATATTAGTCCCTTCAAGCGTCGCAAAAAGCTGATTACCTCTCTTGTGCCCGCTCTATCGACTTCGAACTCCGCTTCCGCCAGCTCACAAACAACTAGAGAACTATCACCTTTACTCACTAAACAAAAAAAACACTCTCCTTTTTCACAAACACATACACCTCAGTCTCGCAAATCTCTCCCAATATCATCCCCGCGATCTCTTGTCAATGGTGACGCTGCTATTGATAGGGATCGCCATTTTAAGCGGTCTATTCAAGCTAATCGTGAGACTCCGTCTGTACAGTCTCCAGCAATTTCCTCGATTACCAGCAAAACTATCTCACTCGCCTCTCCCGCCCCGGATCCAGCATTCTCACGCCTGCGCCGGCGAAGCCAGCTAGCCTCATCTGAGGCTGTTACAGAGCCGAATATTTCATCACATTCCTCTTCGTCGCGCCGCCGCACAAATTATGCGCGCCCATCCACTGTAGGTGAAACTCGACCTAACGCACTGACTAGTCCAACAGACCGCATTTCGCGGGCTTCGCGTCATGCAGCCGTAACCACATCCGTTCCTATATCTGTTGCACCTAACACTTCTGCCGTTTTGCGGTCTGGCCATATCAAGTCCATATCACCATCACAATCTTCAAATTCTTCGGGTAGACCAACAACACGAGCGGATAGAAAATCCAATAGTGGCACAAGGCCTTTGATGAACCTACGGTAAATGAACTCTTTACCGATATAAATCTGATTTCTTATTGTAAAGTATTCCATGTGCCCTGTTATAACCATGAACTCTCCTATATATATATATATATATATATATATGTCTATAAACTCACAATTTGAATTTTATAGACGATCATTTAGATTACTTTATAAGTACTTTATCGTAAAATAGTGAGTGAAGTTATGACCTAGCTTAAATCTCAGCAAGCAGAGTCATCTTTTATTACATTTGGATATATGTAGATTAAATATACTGGCAAGGTCCAATGTGATATCTATTGCGTATTATCT